GAGAAAGGGGAGGTCGTGTGACGGATTTCTGAGACGGAAGACGGAAAAGCGCGCCTCGGCGCGGATACTCACGCCCGATATCTCCCGGCAGCTGTCCTCGAAATTTTTCTTACTCAAATTCGCAACCAAATAACTGATCTGTGACAAAGTAAAAGACAACGAGTCCAGGTTCATAGTTCCATGAATACGACCTCGAAAGCTTCAAACGCGTTTGAAGCTTTCTTCGGTATCCACGAGTTGCCGCCGCCGCCGTCGCCGCCGACGTCGCCGCTGCCGTTGCTGCCGATGCCGCCGCCGTCGCCGCTGCCGCCGCTCCTGCTGCTGCTGCCGCTGCCGCTGCCCCGGGTTCTCGCCTCCACGTTAAAAGCACGAAAGTTACATTGGCGCAATCCTACGGCCAACATCGGGATTGATATTATTGGGGTACGGATTTCACAGCAACGTCATGGCGAGCACAACACGGACGATGGGGGAGAGGGCTCACGAAAAACACACACGTAACCAGCCGTTCGGCTCGTGGATCAGTGTCCGTCCTCTTCGGCCGTCAGCGAATTCGTAGAATCCGACCCAGTTCTCGTTGCCGATCCGCACGTCGATATCGATACCGCGCGCACAGAGCGGGCACACTATTGTTCGCCGAGTTCGCAAACTACACTGAGTTGACCGAGTATCGTCGCCGACGGTGCGCCGCCTCCTCGCGGTCCGATTCCTCCATGATGGTGTGAGAGAACTGTAAGAGGATGTTACGGAGTTCTCGTGCGAGATGTGCGCTCGTCGAAGGTGGCCCAAGTGGTCCAAGTCCAAGGCGGTCTAACGACGGTAACGACGCGCTGTGCTATATCTTTCTTTCTCTTTCTCTGTCACACCAACCCGGACCCGCTGAAACGCAATATGGCACCCAATATTAGTACATATGTAACCCGTCGGTAACCGTTCGTCGACGAACGAGGTTGCGAGCGGGCGCGTTACCTTTTCCGAAATGCGGTATATTTCTCGCGCGATACGTTTCTTATCTTATTCGGGTGTAATGGTATCGCTCTTCTACCGAAAACCAACGGTACCGTCACCTTCGTCAACGAGATCGTCTCGGATCGTCTGCACCAACTCGTAGCCATGCACAGATGCACGATCATGCACGATGCACTGCAAGAGTGCCAAGCCATTTGCACACGAAGCTGCACGAACCTGCACGAAACTGCCCGAGTGCCCGAACGAGACGTGGTTTGTCGTTTCATGTGACCTGGACTTCGCGCTGATTGGCTGTTGGTTTAGGCCCGGTCTACAATGGATGTCGTAAGTCGGAGTCGAAAGAAATTGACCAATCACAATCTATTATTCTCCTTGCGGTCGAAGAATAATGAACTGTGATTGGTCAATTTCTTACGACTCCGACTTCCGACATCCATTGTAGACCGGGCATTAGACTATCGGCTACGTTCCGACATCCGACTCCAACATACAACTGATTGTAGACCGGGCCTTAGACATTCTGAGTATTTTTTAAATAAATAATGACTGCTTAAGAAATCTTAAAAAAATTATTTAAAATTTTGTCTTTATTATTTTGCACTCTTATTTGAACAATTTGAACCTTTTTGTAATGGTCGCGTTCAGCAGATAGCCAGATACAACTGTTGAGTTCGTCTTATCAATACACTGCGTTGATTGGTTGGTTCTAAAAGTAAGAGCCAATAACGTTCGACTGCTACTCAGCGGCTTGGTCTGCTGAACGCGCCCAACGATATGAAAGCAGATATACAAAAAGATGTGCAAAACTAAACTTGAGATTAGTTTTCTTTATTTTGATTGATAATTTTAATCCAATCTCAATCCCAAATCCCAATCCGTAATGTGATACGGGTTTTAATTAAATTGACCAATTGGATGCGATGTGAATACTCCATAAGTCATGCGCGCTTGGTCCGGTCGTCCGGTCCATGAATCGAACCGCACTACGGTGGTTATAAGAGTTAGGTTAGGAATCCGTTTGTGCTGTGTGGCAGTTTACGATAAAGTGGCGAGCTATAAAAAAAACCAATAATTTAACTAATTAAATTACAGGATGCTCAATAACGTGAGGAGATGTCTGACAGTCTCAGTTAGGACTCGTGGGAAATTATTAATACGATCGATCCACGAGAATGTCCTGTCGCCCGTGCTCCATTCTCGCGCGAACGCTCGACGTTCGAATAATGCGGTCTACAAACGTTTTTACTGTCAAGCTACGATCGACGAGCAAAATCTAAAGAGCATCGATTTGAAGAATCAACAGGACAAGTTGGACCAGCAGAAGTTGGATGACGTTCTGTCTGATCCCGAGAACAAGAAGCGCTTTCAAATATTAGAGTTGGAACTGGACGTCTTGCGGCACAATGCTGAGAGAGTTCCTGACAATATTGAGCCATCGGACTGGCTGTTGTTGTTAAACTCGCCGACCAAGACGAGAAGAAAGTCAGTATTTCATTCCCTATTTCTTTTTTCTTTTATTTGAATTTATCTTTGATTTGACTGATATTAATCGGGACCACGGTTTTTCCACTGTACAGAAGGTACCTGGAGTTTTTGTGGCGTAATGAGAGAGCATCGGAAAATGAAAAGGCGAAGAAAGCGTTGAAGAAGGCCGAAGCGCTCGCTAAAAAAGAAGCGGAGTTGGCCGACGACACCGGTGAAATGAAATATGGGCTCCTGCATAACACTCTATTTATGCGTATATACGAGACGACTATAAACCGCTTCTACAATGGCAAATTGCTCCAGAGTATGATGTTCGAACCGAAGTTAGTGTTCGATTGCGGTTACGACGACGACATGAACCATCGCGAGATACACAATTGCGCCAAGCAGCTGTCTCTGGCGTTCGCCAGCAATCGCCTCCACGCAGATCCCATGTGCCTTTACTTCTGTAATTTTAACAAAGACGGATTACTTAAGCGTTACCTTCATCAAAACATACCCACATTGATGAACGATGATTTTCCGGTGACAGTAACGTCCCAATCTTATTTAGACTTATTTCCAAAGAATCAGTTGGTGTATCTCACGCCACACTGTAGAGTGAATCTAAATGAATATGATCCAGACGCGGTTTATATCATAGGTGCATTGGTAGACAAGGTAAACTGACAAGATATATCCCTTCTTTTTGTGTGCGCGAATATTCTTTTTTTTTTTTTTTTATTAAATTAGATTGTCGTCTGTTTATAGACTAATTCGCAGCCGTTGTCACTGGCAAAAGCTAAGAGGGAAGGTATCAGCATGGCCAAATTTCCTATAGACACATATCTCGACTGGGGTGCTAGCTCATCAAAGAATCTCACGCTCGACCAGTGTACCAGGATAATGTTGGACTTGAGACATACGAGGGATTGGAATAAGGCACTATCGAACAATGTGCCAACCAGAAAATTGAGGAATGCCAGAGAAAATAGCTTACGACAGAAACTGTATAAGTCCATATCCTCAGATACATATAAAATTGAGGAACCAGCTGAAGTGCCGTTAAAAGACTTTACCTTTGGAAGTAGGAAAATTAAGAATTAATGTTCTTTAATCGTTGTATATAATTAGACTACGGCAAATTTATATAAAAACATAACGAAAAGCAGCAGCTTGTTAATTACCTCCCTCTGTGTTATATTCTATTATTAAAATTGGAACATTATAATGATAGAACTTTATAAAATTTTCTAACATAATAAAATTTCATTAATTTATAATATAATTGTAAGATTGAGATTGAAGTTGGATAGAAATGGACATAACACATATGAAAATCAGTCATGTCTCTCGGTTTGACAAAGAATTCCAGATTTTCAGTTGTACTGCCGTTACGTTGGTTTAGGAGACATGTGTGCTTCATCGTGTTTTTTTGCGTTGCGTCGTTGTTACGGGAATGCAGAATTTCAAGCAGCAGTAAAAAAATCCGCGCCCGGGATTCGGCGAGACGGATCACAGAAGGTATCTTGCGTGCTTATAACTGCGATAAAACTCGCAGGGAAGTCAGGACGCGGACCTTCGACAGGAACCGCAACCTGCAAGACGTTTCGGCGCCAACGAGCCCGCAGCCCGGATTTCCGTTTCGGGTGATCTGTCGCAAATTGATAATTGGATTATATAGATTAAAGATTTCTCTCCTGCAGCCTCCTGCTTGCATCATATTTAGTCACATTTTTTTGTTTAATTGTTAAAATGCCTTTATTTTGATTTTACTTTTTATCCGGTGTTATGCGCCTCCGTAAATATTTGTTTTAGATCTCCCACCTTAGATCTTGAATTAAAACTACCGCGTTTATTCGATTTACGTGCAAAAAAGGTAAGCGGAAAAAGAGCAGAAATTGTCGTTTAGCACTGAGAAAGGAGTAATTAAATGTTAAAAATGGCATTAATGCAAATTGCATCTTCATTAAATATCATTTTGTTATATTTCCTCTGGGAAATTTTATTGCTTTTATATTTAAAATTAAATGCCATAATGGTTAATGGCTTGATAGAACGATCTGCTGTATACCTATAGTTATAGTAAGAGGAACGCACTGCTCAGTACTGAGCATTGAGGATTAATGATAACTCAGGATTATTGATCGCAATAAACTTGGTTTTTTGATTATACAATTTGTTTTTTAACATATCAGGCATTCGTTTTGTGGTGGCCGCGCGCGCCTCTACCAAGATAGCAACACATATAACCACGTTTTCTCGCGAGCGCTCGACCGCGCCGACTAAATATATAAACAAATTCGACAATAATCATTGCCCTGGACCCCTATTCTGTAACTCTAACGACAGTGTCGGTATCGTTATGTCGTCGTTGCGCAGCTTTTTTTTCATATAGTATACCTGCGCAACGACAACGTAACGATACCGACACTATCGTTACGAGTTACAGAATAGGGGTCCTGATCGATACTCTCACCGACGATCTCATCGGACGACAAGAGTTAGGCGGGCATATATAGTGGAGTGGTGTGCAATTAACAGATTAAAAAAAAACTATTCGTTTCTTTGTTCAACATAAGCTTGAAGTACGTACTTCAAACTTATCTTGAACAAAGAAACGGATAGTTTTTTTTAAATTGCATATTAGCTTATTAGTAATAAATAAAATAAATTAAATGTGCTTTTTTCTTTACCCATATATACATATGTATTTTAAAGCAACATTAACTAACAATAAATAAAATTTAAATCTTGACTTCTTGTACCACCTGATAGTTTCATGAGCTTTTTTACATAAGCATAATAATAATAATAATAATAATAATAATAATAATAATAAGTTGATTTTATTTTATATACATAAAAGTTAATTTTTTTAATCATTCAAAACAGACCGTCATGTGCCACGCATGCGCAAACGTCTCCTCAGACTGACGGCTGACGCCATATTGGTTTTCTTGACTTCATTCGAGTCACGTTTTCATCTATGCTTTTGGATAGGAGTGCTCACTGCTCCAGACCTGTTTATACGACCGGGCTCATACATAACACACGGTTTCGAATTCTATTTCCCACGTAATTTGAACGATTATTTTAATGCGACAATTATAGTGATTATAAAAAATTACAAATATGGCAGGAGGGAAAAATAGTCAAACTGGATTTCAGCCGGTAAAACGATATTACAGAGAATATTGGAAATTAATAAAGCGATATTGTTTCATGTATTTACGATCTAACCTATTTCGTAATTTGATATTTTGCAAGGATTCCGACGTTCATATCACTTTCGAGGAACAGCAGAAGATTAATAAGTTTGCAAGACAAAATGCTAAGTTGGAGGACTATAAGGAAGAACTTAGAGTAAAGCAGGTAATTCAAGTTACTTTAGTTTAAAAGGATTAAAGAGCGATTCTTTCGTCCTCACTGAGTTGACCTTATTTGGTCATGCAAAAGCTTCGCATGCACCATGAGCGATAACTGTTTATTTGCATTTGACAGAACGAATTGAAGAATTTGGAGGATGCTTCCGACGAACTCGCTCTTATGGATGACGATGTAAAAATACCGTATTTTATTGGAGAAGTGTTCATCTATCATTGCCTGGAGAAGACGCAGGTGATTAAATGGCAATAATTATGACTGCGATGATTCTTGACATCATCTATGTCTTAAATAAATATTTTAATTCAGTACTTCCTAAGATTTGTAATTCTAGGCATTGACTTGAAGTATATCGGCGTTTTTTAAGCCTATTACCTTCCTTTTTCTATCTCTAAGAGAAAGGAAGGTAACAGGCGTGAACGTAATTCCCAGGCCAATGATCATTAAATCAAGAATTACAAATCACTGTTTTAATTCATGCTTTCAACTACCTAATCAATATTAACAAAAGCTATTTTTTTTTAGAGCTCTTTGGAAGATGCTAAAAGTAAGAAAAAAGAAGAGATTGCGAGATTAGAAGGCAAATGTGTAGATTTGAAGACTATCATGACTGAATTAAAAACACAATTGTATGCAAAGTTTGGTAGTCGTATAAATTTGGAATCCGAAGAATCGGATTAATATTCTTATTGAGACGCATTGATTACCATTTAATATTAAAAATACATTTATTACATTATTGATATTTGCCGATGTAATTTTGTTCATTTAAATTATAATTAATAAATAATTGTTTGTAGATTTATATTGCTATATCTCTATGACGCAATTTCTCCTGAGAAGCTTAATGTAGTGTAAAGTAAGATTTTTAAATATTTCCTGCAAATATATAACAAGTAAAGCCTTTTTTTTTTAAGAGTTATTTTGATTGATGCTTCTTGATTGAAGATTTCCGAGTTCTGGAGTTACAGTGTTACAGTTCATTTAGAATCTGACGGGATACAGATTACAATAATTTATAAATTTCCAAATACTTGTTACATATACTTCTTTTAATTGCTTCAATAACTGTATGTTGAAATTATATCTTTATAAAAGGGCTGATTAGTCCCAATAAATATTCTTCACACCAAGTAATGTCTTGACTTTATAAAGGTTCCTTTAATAAGTAATTTTGATTTTTTTTGTATTATAAATCTACATGACTTCTTAATAGTAGATAAAATAATGATAGTGAAGAATTATTTAAATATATGCTAAGTGATATGATCAAGAATTAAATTTAGATCTTTTGCTAAATTTCTACAATAGGGACAACAAAAAAGTAGAGTAGAACTTTTCAATTTGTCGTTGAAACTAATTATTTCTTTGATATGTCCAAGTTATCAATTATTTGCATTAAAAAATAAATAAAAGATAAATTTTATAAATACTGGTTAATATAATAAAACTGATCACACAGCGTTGCCAAAGCTAATTAACTAAAATTATCAGTGGAACTGAGCCTAAAGATTAAGTAACACAGACTAAATATTGCATAGGATGGAACTGAAATTTGGATATTTGCCAGTTTGCTCTCATTAGCAGTACAGAAACGATTGAGAACGCATTTAGTAATTTCTCGTTTTACTGCATTTCCTGGAAATAAATTTATAACATTTGTTATAATTATGCACTATATACATTTGTTATATAATTATTTGATAATTAAAATATTACAGTAATTGCTGTAATCTTAATTGCATAATAATGCTATAATACAAACGTGATATTATATATAATATATTCCAAAATTTTTATTGAAAAAAAAAAATTAAAAATAAATGAAATAAATTAATAAGTAAAGTAAATAATTTCTTAATATATATATTAATACTTATATATATTGCACGTAATTAGAATATTAAGGCAATCAAGTGCGAACTTGTAAAAAATCGGTTTCAAGATTTTGAGAAGTAAAAAACTCTTGTCGAATTAATCATTGAGAAACAGAATCATGCAAATCTATTTTTATAATTAAACTAAAGTAAACTCAAATATTCGATGACAAGTATAAATGCAGCGATTGTACATTTGTAATGCTCACTTATTGAGAATTTGTTTTTTTTTATCTACGTTTTTACTTTCGATCAGTCATTTGCGTACAATGAGTGCCCAAGTAATTCCTGCACAGCATAGTCTTTTTCTGTCATCCGGCTTGAGGTAAATTTAGTTTCACCGGCTTCAATGTTCTCAGTACATGTTCCACTCATGGCTTATTCAGTTACTGTCTAAGGTCAACTTTGAGTATCGTGATCTGTAAAGTAATTCTCACTGCGTTTACGTAAAATATACATTTTACAACATCAACTTTTAATATATCAAACATAAAATAATGAAGATTTAAAATCTCAGTGATAAGTACAAAAACTTAAGTGTCACATAAATAAAAATTACAAGTAAGTTCTTAAAACAAGGAAGTTTAACTTTTTCTTCATTATTTGATATTTATTGTGAAGTTTAGATTTTTATATATAGATTTTATATAAGTGCATGTTATGCATGTAATTTATTAAGTGGCAAATGTAGGGTATGTACAAGAAGAAAGAAAAAGATTCTGACTAATATTTTTCAAGTATATCATATACAACAGCATCTTAAAGATTATCCACACGAAGAATGGAGATAGCAAAGGAACTTGTATTGACTCTCAAGCAAAATAATAAATCGCACGTTGGATATGGATTGCAAAAGGAGTGCGAGGCTCTCGTCGGGCACATCTTGCAAAACATGGTCAGATCCCAGATGCCTCCTCTACACGGTGTAACGAAAAACGAGGAAGACTCCGTCAGATACAGAGAGGAAGGTGCGTATTTTATTTCCCGGATAATTAACGTACAAACCACTAATTGCGTTCGTCTAATTATAACGAGCAAATTTTCAGGCAATCAACATTTTGTAATGGGTGACGACCTGGAAGCAATTGAATGTTACACCCTGAGCTTAGCGTACGCCGATAGCGATGAACTCATGGCGTACGCACACGCGAACCGATCCGCCGCTTTGTACAGGAAACAATTGTACAAGGAATGCCTGATAGACATTGACGCGGCTCTGTCTCATGGATATCCAAAAGAGAAGCAGAGGAACTTGAAGGACAGGGGCGACAAAGCGATAACGGAGATAAAAAGGCTGCTGCAGCTGGAGGATGCCGATCATCAGAGAACTACAAAATCAGAAAGCGTCGAGCGCATAGGCAACGGGACGGCAATAGAAAATGATCGAGAGATTCCGAAGAAGCAGGGCGCGATAGCTAACGAGAATTATCTTCATTATGCGGCGAAGATCCCTCCGCGGAAGCCGCGATATTTGCAGGAGGAGGATTTTTCCAAGTTAACGTACGGCCCGAGCCGAGAAGCTCCTGCAATCAGCGACGGCATCGCCATATCCTTCTCCGAGAGATACGGCAGACACTACATGGCCACACGGGAATTTAAACCTGGCGACATAGTCAGCATCGAAGATCCGTATGCGCATGTTATCTACGAGGAACGGTGAGGAACCCTAATTGTCGCGTTTATTTTTTGGTCGAATCTCGGTGCGTTAATTACCCAAGTCTGTCGGGAACAAATTTTGAAAGTGTCTGCTGCAAATTTTGTCGATAGAATGCCATGTTAACGGAATATAATTTGGCAAAATGTAGTAGTCAATAACATGAGAAAAAGAATAAAAAAAAAGATGATTTTGAATATGTTGACCTACCTACGGGAATAAAATGAATGTAAAGACATATGTATTTCGCGTAACTACATCCTCTTCCTTAACGCTCGAAGTAAATTAGCGTTCTCGTTGTTTACAGGTATTACACGCATTGCCACTATTGTCTATCCAGAAGCTACAATCTAATACCATGCCCGCAATGCCCGATAGCTCAGTATTGCTCCGAGAATTGCAGGAAGCTGGCCTGGGAAACATGCCACCAGACAGAATGCCCAATTCTAAAGCTGTTGACGAACCTGCTCAACGTGGACAAGGATAAGATAAGAATGATTTCCAAGATCATTCGATTGTTGATCGTGGTGACCGAGAATGGAACTAGAATTAAAGAGCTGCAGCAAGATATGAAAACGGCGGAATCCAATTCAGGTACCACGTACTATTGTATTCGAAATAAATGTGTAATTGGATTGGTGATAATCGCATAATGACCCCTTTGTTCCCTTTTATCGCAGACAATAGAACGGCGGGATTTACAGATACTGGAATATTAGATAGCTTTAGCAGCCGGTCCGCGCTGAGCCTCGCTACCAATATGACTACGAGACCGCTGATCGGAATCAGCGCGTTCGCCTGTATCTCGGCGCTCGCGGTAATTCTTTTAGCTACGCAGACAAGATTTTTCCCCAAGAGATACGAGATTGACGACTTGAAGGACATCAGCGAATTTTCCGAGCTCAAGTTTTGCGCGAGTATAATGTTTCGTGCCTGCGTGATAATGTCATCTAATTGCTTTTCAGTGAGTTCCCTCTTTTAATTCTAAATTTATTATGTATTCATTATCAAACCCGTTGCGCTACTTAAATGTACTCTTTATACAGCTTTGAAAATATGAGAATATTAAATGGATTAAATTACATATATGCAATTATTAAATAATTTATATATAAATTAATCCAGGACTTATTTTCTCAAGATGTATGATAATATATTTATCTTACAGATACAGCAAGAACCTGGAATTGTGTCGGGTTCAGGCCTATATGTGACTCACAGTCTGTACAATCACTCTTGCGCACCGAATACTTTTCGACATTTCGAGGGACTGACAATGATCACGCGTGCCTTGACACCTATACGTCCCGGGGATCAAATATTCACAAGCTACGGTGGCGTTTACGCGCACATGCAACGATCCGAGAGGAAGCAAAAGATACTGCAGGATTACTTTCTCGATTGCGATTGTCCGGCATGCAAGAACGATTGGCCGACATATAATGAGATCCTGCGAGATCATATCGGATCTATCTCTAAGAATAAGCAGCTTGTGGAAAAACTGAGGCCTTTCAGGGAGAGATTACTCGCGAATATGTACGATATTGAGGCGGTGAAGGCCGTTCTCGATATATTACACAGGGAAGTTGGTGAACATCCATGCGAGGAGATACTCCACGCGGAGCAGTATTTAAAGAGCTACTATTTGGGTAAATTTAAATAAATGTTACAATTGTCATAATGCTTCATGCTTCAGCGTAGCTTTTGTACGTGTCTAGCTCTGCTTACTGCTTTTTGCTTCGATGCTTCCTTGATTAACCCAGGAATTACCTGAGGTCATTTTTACCCCCCCAGCGAGCAAATAAAGCTCAGCCACAGTAGTTTTCTTTACTGATCGAGAATTCGTACCTACTTTTTTATTCCTTTCTCCCTACCCTTTTAGAAAATATTGAGGAAATCTATATACATAAATGATCTCAAATACTAATAAATCGTAGAACAATCAATAATATACAATAAGACTGTTCTAAAGTTAATATCTGCAGTTTGATGTAATAACGCACTTCACGCACTTCGTTTCCCTATCGCAGTCAATAAAACTACTTTCAGCAGCAATACCGATATAATTTTTTTACAAGCGACTATTTCTTGCTTTAATAATTTGCTTATTGCTTTATCAAAACGCTACAATAATTGCGAAACCACGTGCAGTTAATATAATATATATTCTTCTGGATTTCAGATCCATAAACTGTCAAGAAGTATTGATGGTAAGACAACATAGTTAAAAGAATATTATGCATTATAGGAACTATATATTTAAGACGTCTTACATATTAATTTGCAATTAATAAAACAATTTCCAACACGATTTCATTTACGTGACACGAAAGCAAACTCAGATTTTTGTCGATAAACGTTGTAAAACTTCAGCTATTATAAGCAATGGACGGTGTTCAGATAAAATAGATTTATTTTATTTATATTATCTTTAAAATATAATGATATTCTATCATAAATCGTATAGGTTGTCAAGCGGCATAAAAGGAATTATATTAAGGATAGCCAGAAGACGATCTAGGAGAATAAACAACATAGCACGATTTGAAATAGAAAATACATTAATAATTACTTATATATTTCATCGTAATAGGCATTCAGTATATGACATGTTACAATCGGTATTTAACAGTGTCGGATAGGAAAAAGTTTCGGGGGCAGTGTTTCAATTTCATTCTGTGTACACTATACATTACTTTATCAAAGTAAAAAACAATTTACAATGTTTACGAGTGCAAGTATCTCAGCAAGCTCGGCGTCGATTTGATAAAATAAAGAACCGTTAAAAAATAGCACTTTACACTTAGCGATAAAAATTAAAATCCATCTCAACACGTAGATACACTTTTCTTTCTTTTCAAGCACGAACGAACACACATGTGCGAAATGTGACAATATATTATGCTTCAAAGATTAAGATAAACTCAATATAGATTTGCCGATAAAAAGATTTAGAGGCGGACGTTAAAAAACTTATCTATATAGATTAAAACTTATCGCACTAAGGATAATCGATGATACCGTTGATATGTGTATTTAAAGTTAAAATATTCAGCAATTAAAATTTTGATCGTTCGTATTATTCGTGTAAAGGAAAGTAAGTTAATGCGAATCGGTAGGAGGGCCCATTTCCATTCAGTCTCTCGCACTTCGGATTCATTTTTGTACGATATTAAGAGATTATCGACGCACGTGTGTGGTTAAGAAAAGCTGCAGTTTCCGGAATACGAATCATCATTCCCGTGACAATCCTACTGAGATCAAAATTATAAGATATTCAATATAATCGGTACTCCCGCGAAAAGACAAGCTACGAAACATAGCAATTTGCTGCGAAAAAAAAGCTATAATATATATATGTAGTATATCTCTAAAAATTGATAAAGTATCAAGAAACGCATCTAGCAACAATAGTCCCATCGCTGAAGATTATCCATGCGACTATTCCGTCTAGAAAAAAAGACTGCAGATAAATGCAACAATAAAGTAACTATGTCGGTATTTATGTAATACGTTAAGCGCTCCCGAGTATTCGAGGATTTTTTCGAAAATTCGGTGACGCGCACTCCTCGATAACGCAAAGAGAGAGGAAAACTTAACGATTAAGCAACATTGATAAAAAATATACTTTTCAACGCGTTCTCCCTCTGCCAACAGATGTTTTCCCCTCAAATTTGCCATGCTTAATCTCCTCGCTTTGTCCGTCAAATATATAACTCTACTTAAGTAGCTACGTTTTTTTTTTTGTTCGAAGCATCTCTATATCGCACCAAACTTCTGCTCGCGAAAAAGCTATAACGAGATGCTCGAAACGTTTCAAATACTGCGGATGTCGCGTGTCTTTATAATTAAAAATATATAAAATAATGGTAGATTTAAGGCTGCCATAATTCATGGTTTGTGATGTTTCATCATTCTCCCTATCTCTCGGTAAACTAGTAATTTTTCCTTTTTTAAGTCTACGATTACGCTGATTATACAACATGCACCAGATTCATCATTAAATTAATAAACAACTTAAAATTGGCCATGTAAAACGATAGATCAATCCTCGTGACCAAAATCGTTTGAATTTATTCTAAAATTGGATATTTTGATACGATACTCTTCCATAAAACTGCCTTATCTCGATTTATCAATTAATAAAAATTTCCTCTGTAAAGAAAAGCACAATGAGGATTTGTATTTCTTATATCATGACGTACCATGATAAATAAAACATTTTCTAGGCCTATTTTCGTTAAAAATCATTGATTCCCTGTCAATTCAAAGAGTTATCCATTTGGAACACTTTCGAATAGAATACAATGATATAGACGTCAATGAAATGCGTAGTTTGTATTAAAAATTGATCACTCGTCGCTCGCGCGATGCAAGTGATTGTCGCTGAAATGCTGAGTTAGAAATCTAGATTTCTTAAAAAATCTATGATATATAAATCCTATCTATGTCGCCGCTGTGTACACGTTTATTCGGTAAGAGTAACTAATTATTGATGGCTCTGTAAATGGAGCGCGAAATCGATGCATGGTCAGCATGGAGAAACGATATGGAACAGGCCTATGATCCGACCTCCTCAGGCCTAGCCAACGGCGCCTTGGACCTTTCTGTAGTAGTGGTCACTGTAGTCGTAGTGACCTCCAAATTGGCCAAATCCGCGGCATTAATCTGAAATATTTAAACATTTATTTATCGCTCGATAGACATCTCTGACGTCTCTTAGTAGAAAAGGACTCGGTTAGTAATTAAACGTTTTACATTCATTTTAATGTTGTTAGTCAGTTTGTTAATGAATATCGCATGAAGGGAGGAGCGAGGAATTAATTAACAAAAATAAATGAATGGAAAGCTAGTGCATTTAGTAGCGGAAGATCAATTGACTAATGACGCACGACAAGGTATTAAGGAGCATTAACATTAGACTGATATATCGAGGTGTAACGGCCGACACCAATTAATTATAATTATATTCAGTGCCGTTTGCTGACCTCGACATTCGGGGGCAGAGTGATGGTAGCGTGTGTCGTTGTTGTCTCGATACCACTGCGTATCTCTCGCTCTACCGTAGTGCCTACGCAATAAAACAAACGCCACAAACAAAAAACAATGATAAAAGAAAGAATATAATGAATGCAAATAATGTAAGGACGGAAGAAATGAAACGAAAATTATCGAAAGCGCGTCGGTGGACAAAGACGAAATGTAGATTAACTATACAATGTAAAGTAACGGTGTGAATCGTAATCCGTCGAGTCTGTCGATTAGTGATCCTGAAAAATCAGTGAAATATGTTGACCTAAAAAATACTCGATTACTGACGCAATTAAATCGTTTGTGTAAAAAAAAAATATTGCAAGTGCACTTAAAGATTAATCTCTTTACGAAACGTCAATCTGACAGTCCAATGATCAGATGGTAGATCTAAATTGCATAATAGTCATTTCACAGGTCTAGATCGATTGCGATTTCACTCACTGTTTACGTGTTGCGTTTCGTTCGCCTGACTCATCTCGACCTCGCCATTAGCGGTCGTGCTATTCGTGGTTTGCGAAACCACGGTGGTCGTTTTCACCACCAGCGACTGATTTTGAGTGGATACCTCGGAAGTACGTGAAGTCACCTCCATCTTAAGTCCTGCCAAACGATTGTGGAGATCTTCGGAAGACGTCGCGTTTCTGAAAAGTGGACTGTTACTGCCAAAAAAATGGCATGTACATCGAATTGCTAGTTAATCAATAAAATTAACATAGCGGCAAAATAAATTATCAAGCCACGTAGTAAAAAATATGATTTGCACAAATTAAATATATAGATATGTACGTGACGTGATATTAACTAAAAATTATGATTTACTAAACTCACGATTAAAATAAAACTGATCGTAAGCAAATAATATAATAGATAAAATATCTGATAACGTTACAACTGAACTTACAGCAAATGATCTTTAACACTGTCGATCGTAATATCTCCGATAGAACTTAAATCCTGACGGTCGTCTTCCCCGTTTACATCTATACTACTGGTAGCCGGTCGCAGCGATGGTTCCTTCGGAGATTCCTCCTCCCCAGCTAAAAGACATGCGTTCACATCGACACTAAACGGCACTATTACGAATAAGAACATTCCCTACTGTCTCGTTAATTGACACAAATGGTAATAATGGTTCAGTTGCGATTAGGAGCGGAATACGTAAGCCACACATATATATGCGGGTTATACAAGGTATGCCAAGCGGTTACACATATACACAATCGGGTTTGCACAGAAGCCGGTGATGTATTCTGTTGCAATACGTTAAAATGTATTCGTCTCTTTAGATCAGCAATCGGATTTAGTTAAAACTTTCGTCCCTTCCTTGCCGTTTCTTGAGAAGTCACATAATTATGTATAATTAAAACGTGCTTTGCTTCAAAAACAGCCAAAAATCCGATCGCTGCTTTAGAATCTTTAGATTACTCACGTCAAGATATATGGAGGTTTTTAATACTCACTGGTACCCACTACGCCATTTTCCGTGATAATTCTGTTCGCCGCTATCGGTGGTTGACTTCCCTGTGTCTCCCCTTCGGTTTCCGGTACGCCTTCGACAACGCCTTGTTCCTGTGCAACCTCGTTAGCATTTTCCACGTACGATCTAGCGTGTGGTGGTAAATTAAGCGCGCAATACGCCTTTGTCATCTTCGCGGTTGACAGGGAAATTCGTTGGAGTTCTGAACTCGAGTGAAGATACAGCGCTTCTCCGGCTTTCGTAAATATTAAGGAAGAAATACCACTGAAAGACGAAAGACATACATGGTCAATTCGCAAACGTTCGACATTAAGATACGAGATACAAAGGAAAAAAGAAACAGAAATACTGACTTGATGTCTTCTCTCTTGATCGCAGCGGCATTCAACTGCCTTCTCAGTTCTGGTATACTCAGTATTAGGCAATCGCCAAGATTCGTTAGGCAAAGCAAGCAAGTTTCCTCGTGAGTTCCCGCTGGCTCGACGAGACACGAGAACTTGGCGAAACCCGTTTTTCGCACTCTGGATCCCTCGTGCGCGGTCAATTTGTACTTGCAATACGGCTTCAGGGACGGAAGATTGAAAATCTTGAACTGCTCCTCGCTGGCAATCACAACTCTGTGCGTGGAAGTCATATCGGGTCCGGGCGTCACGCCCTTTTCGGCCTCGTAGGGTTCCGGCAACGGTACACTGGATCCATCGAGGATCGTGATCGCGATTACTGGCGCACGATGTTTCAATTGGATCTCCTTACCCAGTGTACAGTTGACGTCTTCCTCCGTTCTCCTCACACCGGCCGGTATGGCCAACGTGAAGACGTAAACCGTGCCGTTGTTGGTGCCCGCCCAAAGTGTGGGTGTTGTATTTTGTACTGTAAACAAATATTTAAGTCACTTCTGCAGCCTGTCCTTAATATTCAATTTACAAAAATAAATACTAACGGCTAATAATGTAACTTCTGGCGAAATACAAACACCGAACCATAGAGCCTAGACCGTCGTCAACAGGCCTCGCTTCCACTTGTCTCTCCACTGGTTTCAATTCTGTTGGTGATGGATCGCCACTCGGCGAGGAGGCAACGCTGGGATTAAAGTTTAATAATTACACATTGCTTCCTTCGTACTTTTTGATCTAATTGTTAAACTCACCTGTCTTTCTTTTTCTCCGGTGCGGTATTCCGCGTAGGACTGTTAGCGTTTGCTCGACGTTGCGAACGTCCCTTTCTCAATCTCCTGAAAGATTCCCTAAGGGATTTTTTGAAAGATTTTCGCCGGGAGATAGGAGTGTCGCCTGCACCAGAAAGATCTGTAAAACATTAAAACAGCCATTTTCATTTACGATATTGATACAACAAAGTAACTTTAAATAGAAGTGTATGTTTTAAATATCCACGTAAGTATTCAAATCTTTCACTCTCTAGATTTTATTCTCATCTTTAGAACTACATGTGGAAAGTTACTTAAAATAGAACTTATGAAACGAAAGATTTCCTATCGATATCAAAGTTGTATTAGCCGCTGAAAAAGTTGTCTCGTTTTATTGTAGCATTCACATACCATTTGGATTAAGCGTGCATTTAACACTGACGGCTTTCGACCTGGTGTAATCAAAGACCGCGAGTCCGTGCGCTGTACCGGCAGCAAGTAATCCCCATTCGCTGTGCAACGCTAATGCCGTGACGGCGGCCGGTGGGTACAGCTGTAGGAGGTTCTGAGGTTGAAATCCGACCGCGAACGATATACTCGTCGTTCTCGGCGGCAGATGATCGTGACCCTTCCACACGAACCCGTCGCGATCGTTGACGATGTTCATTGTTACGGCCTTTATCTCCTTGTTGGTCGGTTCCGCAGAGATAATAGCAGTTATGATATGTCCGGCTGTGCCGGCGATTACCAATGTCGAGGATAACGGGCAGAGAAGAACCTTCTTCACGGCAAGTCGTGGATCATCGGAATACGGATCGAAGATTCCCACCTTCTTGAACGGCGGCCACTCATCCTCGTCGTCCTCCGGGGGTTGCTCGAGAACGTCCAAGTGCTCGCCGGTGAACAGAATCGACGAATTATACTTGTACAAAGGGGTCAGAGCGACGTCGGACGCGTTCCAGAATCTGACGGTACCGTCCTCGTGTCCAGTAAGTAGCAGTTCTTTGTTTCTAGGCTTGTCAAGATGCGCCGGCTTCTGGCAGAGGAGGAGGCCGCCGTCGATGGGCCATGATTTGTCCGAATAAAGATGCTCGGTCTGCGCTTTACCGGCCGCCACGATCGCTTCCCAAAGTTCCTCGGGTACATTAGGCACGTGTTGGGAACAAGTCACCTACGATATGAAAGAATTTATATCGGATTTCTTCCACAATTTGGCTACTTTTTACTTCAGAATACTCACCGAACTCGCATGGAGAGATACTAGGTAGGGTAGAGCCATCATTTTCCATTCGGGGTTGGTCAAATCGATAGCTACTAATTCTTCCTCGGCCAACACTATAAGCGCTTCCGGACCGGCAGGGCTCTCATTGTTCTCTTCCTCTTCCTTAGGGAAGACGGTGAAGAAGTCGATGATCTTAGACGTGAAATCGAAAACTAAATGTTTCTCCTTGGTCATGACAGTGATCGTGTGTCGGTCTCCATAACTGGCGCGTTGCATACCACCGGAGAATAGCACGAGCTCGCCGTGTCTACGGAAAAGCTCAGTTGAATTCGTGAAGTAATAAGAAAGATAGGGGAACGGGGGTAGCCCCGGACATTATCGACATTCAAGTATACCACGTATCTATGGCCATTGTTTAAACATTCTAATATGCCCTTCTGCGTATCTCGACATATGCAGAATGTTTAAACAATGGCCATAGATACGCGGTATACTTGAATTTCAATAACGTCCGGCGCTACCCCCCTCCCCCCGTTCCCCTACTATACAATCCTGAAGTGACTTACTCAGCGGTAGGATATACGAGGATTTTGTTAACGGCCTTGCACGGAAACGGCCCGTAAAGTGTCGTAGGCTCCGGCACGGCGTCGCTACCCGGACTCCAAAACGCGTAGGAACCGTCATTGTGCGATGAGACAAAACGATTCTCGGAGATCCAGTGGACCGATTCCAGCTGTTGCGTGGAGACGAAGGTCTGCGCACGCGAAAACAAACCCATCAGCTGCGCGTTCCACCAAAGACCACCAAAGACACAAACGACAATCAGAACAAGCGATACCATCTCACAATTCGTTCTTAACCCTGCTGTTCCATTCGCTTCCATTTTAATCAATTATTTTTCAAGACTCCGCGTAGCTTTGTGGCAGAATGATAAAAGTTATTAGATTAAGACTAATTATATTCTCAATTTATTTTTCGGGAAAGAACTTTCCAGAGTAAAAATATATATCTATATTAAAAATATTAATGTAAGATTCTTTATATAAGAAAATTAGTCAAAAAATGCACACAGTTTTTAACTTTAGTTTAATAATTTTCGCATATAACTTTTTCTAATTTCATGGATTCATTATAGTCCTCCATTCTTAAATATGTATTTATAAAATAAGATAGAGATTTTTTTATCTGATAGCAACATTGAGAAATATAAAAAGTATGAAAATTCATTTAAATTCAAGATTAATCAGTGTATTAAAAATGAATGGGCTAGCAGGATTAAACATTGACCCAAACTGTGTTGTTTTGCGAAAAGCATGTAAGCGTTACAACATATGACTATTGCATTTGCCAAAGTGTAATCGTGTATACGTAGAGATGTAACGAAAACAAGGCTTACCTGTTGAGCTCCCGGAGTAGCTTTGTTCCATAGTACCATCAAACCTCGATTATAACCGATCAAGATGTTGTCCGGATGCCCTGGCTGCTCGGCTATGGCTTCGACCGCCCCTGGATTTATCTTGTAGTCTTCCGGGACGCTGTGCGACAAAAACAGATTAATGATTTTAGACATAGAGTAACTCTTCTCTTTCTGGTCTTAAATAATTTTCAGTACAAAACCCAAAGTTATTACATTCTTTTAAATAAAATGGCTTTTTTCGAAGTTTCTTTGGCTTTTGTAACAATCAGAATAATCGAATTTTATGGTTTATCCGTTATCCCGTATAATTGCGACAATAAAATCTTGTTATAAGATTAACAATGTAATAAAACAGGCGAAATACTTTTCATAATCTTGATAGCATTTAGGCCAAAATACAGAAAATAAAATTCAAGTCAAATTAGATAACGATAGATAACGTAATTATTTACTTCTGCATCACGACATCTTGATAGATAATATTCTCCGGAGTGACGAAAGTCTTCAAGTTTAGCAAGTAGATGTTGCCTCCTTCCGTTCCCAGCAAGAGATGTTCCCCACTGGATTCGAGGCACATCGCCGAGATCTTCTTTAATTTCCCTTCCAACGACAACGTCTTCGTTTCCACCACGGAACTCTCATTAATCTCCCATAAATGTAATGAATTGTCATCGCACAAGGACACCACGCGACCCTGCAAATTACCAAACAGATCATAAAATGTCTGTCGGAATGAAGAAGTATTATATTCCACAGAGCAAAGGATCCTCAAAAATATCTTTCATTTGATTTTCAAGAACATTATTTAATAGAGATGTTTCAAACTTTCTACTATATTCTCTTTCATACATACTTGCATTTAATATTTTATATAAGTTTTAACAACGGTTTTTATCTTAGAAAGTTCGCGTGTGTTCCTTGACATAACGGAAGTAATAAAAACGCCGCGCAACGAGATCAACAGCGGCTGCTGGCCTCTCCTATCACTATTATTACACGGAGAAAATACTCGCGTAATCTCGCCATCTTTCACGACTCCTCAACTCTCGTACCTTTCTGATTTTGCAACTATTGCGCGCAATACACAAAGCGAAAATTCAAAGCAAACGTAAAATCACATAAGTTCACTTGCACTCAATTTTTACTTGAAATTACTGATTTACTTTCTAAATGTAAGCATCCTTTCTGTATATAATATAAAAATTCTTTATTACTGCATTTGGAAACAGTTCAAAGTTAATTTTAAAAGATCTTGCCAAAATAAATAGGTCGAATTTATAAATTGAATAAAAGGTAATATTTTAGATCTCTATCATAGACTAGCTGCGCTATCTTATCAGCCTCGAGATTTACCTGGGACCGCTTATCGTGATAACGAACGTTCCTGCTTATGCTGTTGTACAATCGTGAGACCAAAAGTGCGATTCAATTAAAAGCCACGCCTGATTCAAACAATATTATGAAAAATTATATATTGCAAGTTATCCACGCATATAATTTTATACAAATTTTGCGCACTTACGGATCCATAACTCTTATATCGTATGTAATTACTTCATCAATCATCACCTTATTATCTTATAATTGTAACAAGCCTCTTAGACGTATAACAATACAGTTATCATCGTAGTTATAACAAGCCACTTAGACTTAAAAAAATACTCGATTAGAAAACCTAGTGTTAAATCTAATATATTAAGATAATTTTATCGACACTATCATGACATCGGCTGAACGTTTACCCGCGTGTCTGGCGATAAATGGATAATTGAACTCGGAAACCCGAAGAAAGTCTTTCTTCCCGCATTTTACGTCGTGGCTTTAATTGCATTCCGCATTAATTGCGACGCATCGTCACGATGTCGTTGCACCCGTGTATTATTTATCAGTACACGCGTGCGTGAACACATTGTGGAGTGTCGCACGGGATTATGCAACCCGCTGGCAACCGTATAAGCGGAACACGGTGTCGCATTACTGTTGGCGCGATGCTTGCGATTTTAACGAAACTGCCGCAAGTTAGCACCTTTCTACGCAAATCGCTAAACAACGCATATGCAAAAAATAATTTCAACATAAACATATAAGAGGTGCGCACGATATGATACAGGTAAATATTATAATAATAAGAGAATGCACATTGAAAACTGATCAATGAACGAGATTCTTGTATCTTACACAGTCTAATTTTTTCAGACAATTTATTTAACTATTCAATTCCCGATGTAAATAAAGAAGCGGCGATTACGAGATAAAGAATCGATTCCGAAAATCATAGTTCTTATTTAATGTAAATGTAATCGTAATTAAACATCAATCTTACCTCATTGGGCAGTGCGACAATCTTCGTGACGGCATTCTCACCGCTTTCGACGGAATGTTGTCCATAGAACTCTACGCCTGGCCTTCCAAAACTGGTGCTTGAGTTAAGGAATTCCAAGAAAAAAAGGGTTTACATAATATTGTATAAATATGTAAAACACCGACATAGAGAAACAACCTGTATCACACAGCGTTCGAGAGAATAGACCCTCGGATCTCGAATTTGGGAATAATCGACTTAACATGCTGACAGTAGAAATTCATCATTCGAAGAAACAGCTGTTGAACATACGTAAACGCAAATGTTATCGCACACTTTGCGAATTCTATAGTAAGTCGCGCGATGAATGACGCAAATTTATTATGCCATTGGGATGTTATGTCAATGGACAGTTGCATAATCGGCAAGTTACTTTGAATGAGTGCTGAAGAATTAGCCTAGATTTTATTTTTATTCTCAATTTCCTTACAATTAGAAGGCTCGACAATGATTCGACTCGTCTCTTTAACAAGTTACTATTAAAAAACTTAAAAGATTAAATTTATATAAATTTTCTCTAATTCTTAATCAAAGTCGGTTGAACTATACTCATATTGAACTCTTCGATGCATCTTTATTGACAAAATGATTGATTTGCGTAACTGTCTGTTAAAAAAATATTCACAAAGTTTGAAAAACAATAAATCTGCAGAGTTCGAAAAAATTTTTACCCAATCATCTTTCTTATTTTAATGTTTATACGTATTTATCAACAAAAACTTTTCATTCGCCAACTTGAAATTTTAGCGTTGCGTGGCATTCCCTCTTTAGCACAAGATGTCACCTACTTCTTGGTTTTCGATCGATATTTTCTGCAACCGCAATAGTGTAACTTACAAATATTGTCATTTCTAGTTAAAAATTTCGTGCTCATTTTCTTCTTTTAATCAATCCGAGCCCATTCCAGCGATACGTAGCCTGCTGGTTCGTAGAAAGCTGTCGAGTCTAAAAACGGAAAACTAGATAAAGTATCGCCGTACGAGCTGCTTCGAGTTACGGAAAGAATTCAAGAGGCTCGTGATTAGGTTCAAATATAGTTGTAGGCGCTTGTAAAACGCGTTACGCTCAGCCAAAGGTTTCACCGACGCGACGACGAGGTGTGCCGTCCAGATAATCGTGTATACGTATATCTATTGCGAAATAATAACGATTATCTGGTGATTACGTAGTCCTTGGAAGCATCTGCCGACAGTGCACGCGCGGTTACGGTATTAAACTGGCATTAAATTGCCGACTCGCTGACGTGTTGATTATTTCGCCACGATCTAACATCCCGTTTAATAGTATATCTACGAACGAGATAAAAACTCACAAATTTTCGCGAATCGACAGGATAATTCTCAGATCATGTGTCATTTTTCTCACGTAGCTCTTTTTTTACTTTCTATTGTACTAAATCAATCAACGATTGGATTTCAACGTTTATGCTTCGTCGATAATGGAGTTTGATTAGAGAATTGATTTTTAATCGTTTGTTTGCAATAATGCTCTGCGCGTATAATATGATACTAGTGCAAATGCGTTGATTAATGTTAATGAGTCATCTTGTTAAAAGACATATTACATAATGTTTTTTCATAATACGTATGTATTATGTATCAAATAAAAAAATTTTTTCGGGGCAAAGTATTATATGCAAAAATATCGAGAACTCCAAGAGATTCACCTCTTTTCGATTTGACTCATTATCAGCGTAAAAAAATCTAATTTCTTTCTTCACTTTTATCCCCTCAGTTTTCGATATTCATCACAGTCGTTTTGCTCGATTTCAGTCTGACACTACTCTCAGTGGGTTTGCCATTACACCTTCCGAGAGGTGACGATCGAATAAAATCCGGCGACTTTTGGTTGGATTTGAAACTCGGATCTTCGACTCATTAACCAGCGCACATCTCTCTGCGCCACGACCGCCACTAACTTTTAATAACAGGAAGTAACTAAACAACAAGAATTGTGTAAAAATCAAATACATACTTAAAAACATGTAATTTTGAACAATTCATCGCGTGCAGATTTTTAGAAAATTGATTTTTTTTAATATAAGCTTGTAGCGTATAAAAATTCGTCACATATAATATATTGTTTATAAACTATTTATATTGAATATAAATTTATATTAAACAAAATAAACATTCATGCTTGCTTTATTTATATTTATATTACTTTGAAAAGCTGCAAATTGTGTGGCGCTAAATTCAAACTACAATGTGGCAACTTCTAGTTGATACTGAGTATTTTTGAAATCAATAATTTCTGCGTGTGTGTATATAAATGAAGCAAGCGTTGACAAGGTCGGGAAATGAGAGCAACAAAAAGTATTGCAGAAGCGAATTCGGGCTGACCTTATAATATCGTCAAATTGTCAAAAACTTCAATCTTTCATCCTTCACAGTTACCGACCTTCTTAGCGTAAAATAATTGCGAAATATCGCGTTCTCTTGTAAAAACACTTGTAATAAAATTGGCCAGCAGTCTTACGAAGTCGAACGCTGCATGTGCATTTTCGCGAACAATCGATATCGCCAACTGAATCCTGCATTATGCAAACGCGGTTGCTCTTAATCGACGAGTTCAGCGCGACAGTTGTCTAACCCGGTTCTCCGAGAAGTTGGTAAAATTAGAATTGAGAAATGTAAATTTGGACCCCGATTTCCCCCCCGAGTTGTTAAAGAAAGTAAGTTAGAGAGAATTCCGCATTGAATTCTTCAATTAGGAACAAATGCGTTCGCATAATGCGAGATTGTTACACGCGAACGCTTTCGTGGGCTCTAAGTGTGATTTAATGTTTCTTCAATAATGCCTCACTCTGAGCAGAATGTAGGTTTGTAAAACATACCGCAAGTGATTTATAGAGCCTTTGTTAAGCAATCGCTCGCGGCACCACGAAACAGATTTTCCTATTGCGGCAATACGAAAAGTCATAACAAGTATTTACAACCAACCTGATATTTACGGCGGTAATAGCTTTTCATTTCACGGAGAATATTTATTTTCCGTTTAGTGAGTTAACTGAAGTAACTAAAAAAATTCAAAGCGTTCTTTTAAATAAAATTAAATAAAATATAACGCGTCTGTAATATAATACAAAAATTCCTCCAACGATAATGTATAACAATTTTTACAACAAGCGACACGTGCTATTTGAACTTCTCTCTTACTTTTCTCTCTTCCTGAGGAACGAAGCCTCTCGAGGATTAATAGATCGATACGCGCGTCATCGAGTCCTGGCGGTTGCGCCTCGGGGAACCAGATTATAAATACCAAACGGGAAGAAAGCGAGGTAGACGGAGACGGGGAGGCAAGAAAAGCAAAAGGATACACCTTGATGGCGCCGGATGCCGTGCCGATGATCATCAGCCGCAGACTCGGATCCCAGGCGAGAGCGGTTGGCTTGTTCGGGAAACCATGCTGCACCGTCTGCAACGAATAAGAGCGGACCCATTAGCGACGCTGAGTTCGATCAATTTCCTGACATCGTAAACAGAATTATGCTTCTAGTTGTCTTCGTTGATGCTTATTGTGTTGACCACTTGAGATCAGAACAATTTTATAACGTGAGAAAGGTATTCGTTAGATACATCCAAAGAAATTTTGTGGTAGATATAACCGGTGTAATAAATTTTCTAAACGTGATAATCACGTTACAAAAATGTTAAAACTTATAACATAAATTTAACAGATATTGAAGAAATAATGAAAGGATAGCAAAAGATGACTGTCATTAGTCATAAGCTTAGAGAAAATCTATAAACACGCGTGCATTGTATAATATATATTATCCCATCGCTAATATATCGTACATTATTTCCTTATCTTGATTTATATTATATTATTGTATAGACATTCAAATCGGAATGCATTAAAACACATTTCAAAATGTATTCGCAAAGCTTATATTAATCTACAAATTAACTACATATTTATTGTAATAATTATAACAGTTTTGTGTATCAAATATATGAATATTATGATCAAGCAAGATTAATCATCACGGAATAAAGTAGAATAATTCGAAGGAAAAGTAGTTGCTCCACGCATTAATCGAGTGAACATCAATTTGAAGTAATTTCCACATTCAATGTGATTTGTTATCACTTCAGAGTTCCTGTTCTCTTCCAAAATTCCAAGAACGCGAATAAAATTCGCCTGCCTTCAGTCACTTCCGCCCCTATTTTCAATTGTTTAGCATCTTCTAAACATAATTAGAAATTGAGGAGTCTTGGCACGATTAAATGGTTGATTTAGGTGAAAGTTACGACGAGTTAGTCGGCCGCGACTCCCGCGATGAGTCAGATTTTGACAGCGCCCGTTAATCTAGCGTGGCTTATCGTGCCCGGTCATACCTACACGCGCGCGTACGTCAGCATACGAGAGGCGATATACGGTCCGACTACGAGCTGCCTTCGAAAAGCAGCCGGCAGCGGCAATAGAGATCCGCACGGGCGATGAAATATTGTTGTTGCGCGATGCCGGTAAACTCCACCGTGGACCACGCTCATTTATTTCCGTCTCTTCCCACGGTCAATTATAACACCCGCGTGAATCGCGAGACGTATGTACGCAAGTATGTCCTGGAAACCTAAAATCTCCATGCGTTCTCTCTAAAATCTAACTGTATATAGAGGTGCACGAAGTGATTCTTGAAATGAAGTCGAGAAACCTTCAGGAAAGCAATTTTTTCCTTGTTTAAAATTATCCTCGATCCTTCGAGACGCAATGATTCTATTTTGAATAATTAATTAGTATAAATTTATAGCGATTGAATAACGATGAGAGAATTTTCCTCGGATAAAAAAAATTGCGTTTTGAAGCTGTATATTAAGCACTAATAGACATAAACGATGGAAGACTTTCCGTAAATCGATTATGCAAAAAATGTAATTAACGAATCCTGTTAGTCATTTGAATACATGTATACTCATATTTTCTGAAAATCTTAATTCAAAGCCGATAGAATATTCAATATTACTTGTTGGGAAATTTGTAACAGAATGCCTACAATTTTCTTTTTCAAGCGAAAGAGAATCGCAATCTAAATGTTTTACAAAAAAGTATTCGTTAAAAAAATTATAGAATTCAGAATTGAAATTAAAGTCAAGATAAACACTGCTATTTACATTTATTTAATTTGAAGATTTTCGTCATAGAAACTTATATCGTAAAGTTTCACATTATTCATTACGGGAAAAAACACAGTTTCACAAATCAAGATTCTAATGGAAATTTATACCAGAATGTATAAACTATCTGCAAAAGAAATCCGTTATTCACGTCTTCGATGCAACAGAGATTTCGTTCAAGTTGAGATTACGATGGAAAACTCATCATCGCCGCGAATTTTCTCAATAGACAACGCGTCAAGATTTCTGCAATCCGCCGTAAATAGACGGTCAATCGAGAAAAATGTACAGAGAGGAAAGATTTTTCTATCCGGAACTGATGAAGATAAATCTTGGCGACGAAGATTTCGTCGAAGATTTCGTTTTCGGCCCGCCGATAAAGATACATCGACCTGAACTGTCGAGATAAAAAAAAAACCGGTGATCCCGGATCTTGGCTCCCAGCACCATTTCCATGAGAAAAGGTGTCAGTACCTGCATGTTGTGCTAAACACGATCCTTACGAGAGATACATCCTAACGAGAGTTTAAAGCGAGACACTGCGCTGGTATTCTGTGCAACAAAGAAGCGCGTGCGTTCCTTTCCATTTCTTTCAAGTTAAATTCGCAGACTCGCTTGATTTTGGGGAAAAAAAAAAAAAATGCATTGACAACAAATTAATAGACGGCGATACAAGTCAAGCGCGGTACGTGGTGCGCGAGTAAAGAAAATGCATTAAATTAATTTTGTCTCGTAAACAGTACTTGGCGACACCTGCGATTAATGGATTCATCGCGTCTGCGGTAATCTAATAATTGACCTTTCTTAAGATCTGGAGAAAACTCTAAAATTTAATTTTTACGACTTTTATTACGTATACTCTTGACGTTTCGATATATTAAAGGGTAAAAGAATCATCAACCGTCATCAAGTATTTTAATGCAGATAAAAGCATAAAAACTTTGCACCGCGGTTGCGAGATATTGACAAGTTATTTACGAACTGCAACGTGGAACGGGCTACGGTTCACGGTCGCATCCGGAGCGCGCGAGATACGCAAATTGGCGAACTCCCTTCCACCCTTCCTCGCGAAACGAGGTACGAGACCTCTTCTTTTCATCTATACCTTCTTTCGCCGGTTTCTCCCTTCTTTTCTGTCGCCTGAAATAGCGCAAACATACACGGATAAATGGACACTATACTCGCACGTCGCTATTTTCGAACTGTTCGAGTCATTTGCATATACCGGGGAGGAAAAAATCGTCCAGACAAGTATCAAGGTGACTGAACCGTGTTTGCTTCGCATCGGCACTAAATAGTCAATTAACCATCGTGGAAAACTGGTTTACATCAAATTCCAACCGAAGAAACATGTTCCAATCTCTTCAATCATTTTTCAACTGAAAAATATATATTTATATAAGTTTACTTAAATCAGAAAAATTATGTATCGGAGGATTGATTTTTTTTTTTTCAATGAAGTTATCACAAGTATAATATCGATTCAATGATGCAGTTACGAGAACGCACCCAAGCAAATACGAAAAAAGGGAAGGTCCCGAGGGTCTTATCATATATTTTGTTTGCTCGTAATGCCGATATGATCACTTGCTATCTGTGCGATATATATTGAAGTTTCTCGTTCGGCATCGAGCTATCGAGGAATTAAGCGTTAGGTAAGATATACCGAGCGCTCTAAGAATCATGCCGCGTTAACTTGTTAAATAAGACTGATTGATATATGACGTGTTAACAGTATCTCGGACTGTTTTCTTCGTAATTATAAAATTTAAAAAAATGTGTACATAACAAGATACTCAGTATATTTAATATCCAAATGTGGAAGAATAAATTTCTAAAACTTCACACAAAGATTGGGAACGACTCTTCGATCGAATTACGTAGAAATCAGCAAGTCAGTGTTGCATCTGCACTAAAAAAAATGTCGCAAAACCTAAAAAAAGATAAATAAACGACAAAAGAGTGAAATTTTTTCTCATTAATAAAAAAATTAAAAGATTCTCATATTTATTGATCTTTTTAGCATTTTTATTACAACAAGAATAACGAGCTGTGACAAATGTCCCGAGAATATCAAATTTTAACGTGTAGGGTTAAAGAGTGCAAGATGAGAAAATCAACAAATTTTCCAACATATGAAATATTTCCTCATGAAAAAATGAGCATAACGGTGAGCCAACCGGCTTAGTTGGATAATCGCGTTTGGGATTGGGTTTGCCATCGCCCGAATTTACTCTCGCGCATTACTACATACACTTCGTGGAACCTCTTCGAGAATCCACAGCGCGGGGAATTAAATCGCTATAGGGTTTCGCGATAATGCACACGACGCACTAAGCGTCATCACGTCGGGCGGACGCATATGCGTTGGGAATGCCCTTACAGCGGAAATCGTCAATAATTCTTTTTCGCTCGTTTAAAGACACTAAAAATGCTGCCTATCATTTACAAGTAGCGTCGACGAACGATAATTTAGAATCAAAAGGGATTTTACGTTCACTAAAATTTTTATTTATAAACCATCTAAATATTTTAAATAATTCCTTCTAGATTGCCACTGAAGTAAACTTTTGTCAAGTTGTTTATTAAACGTAAGATTATATATTGTAAAATATTCGTGTTATTTTCGTATTTTTACAGACTCGCATATCTATCGATAGTTAAATCTCAAAGCTTCTCTTTACATTAGCAAAATAATTAAATTTGAAGCGCTTCGGACTTGAAAATTCTAACGCAATAATCATGGTTTTGTAACATCTTTTTCCAGATCAGGTGCAATATTGACTTGTTGATTTCCGCGCAATTCACTCGAAAAAGCCGTTCCCAGCCACTTGCGCGACTGATAAGAGGTTTCGACGTTTCCTGGCAGATTGCACAGACCCAACGGCAGGAAATTATCTGCTGGCGAGGGCTCTCGCATGCGTGCACCTTGTGGAACACGTTCTTGTCGAACGATTGTTCGATCGCGCGTCTAATGGGGCATAATGAAAAATGCGCAATGCCGCATTTAACAAAGAGACCGCGACTTCGTAACACTTGAACGGTTATTGTCAGCCGAAATGCCGTCTGTTTCATCGTTAACCAACGTATTGAGTAATGGCCGTTCCTTCAATTGTCAGATATTTTATCCACAAGCAACATGCTAACAATAAGTAGAGCAAATTCTTCGGGAGTCCAACCGAACTTTTTATTAATCCTCTTGTTAAAAAATTATACGTTTTTTAATGGAACTCAGAGATTGGTGCCATATGACGATTGCGATTTTTAAGAGAGAAATTTCAAATTTTACTCTAATTTGATTAAAATTGAAGAAATTCTAGCATTCTAAAAAATATTTAACTTTTATTTTTAGACGAATTGTAATTTAATAATTATTTCTATTGCAATAAAAAAAAAAACATTTAAAGTACTGGTTTTTCAAACCAGTTCTACATTATGAAACTCTATCTAATTTATTCTTAGAAATAAAATATAATAATTGTCCTTAATTAATATAATGTATAAATATAATGCAGGCATTTCTAACACTTTATTGTTCTAACAAAAGAAAAAAAAAATTTTCTCGACAGTTTTTAACATGAATTCTGTCAATGGAGATTTAATGTATGAAAATTTGATTAAATGGGTCTTTTGATCTCTAAAAATAAATTGAAATTTCTACACCGTCAAAATTAAAAGATTAAAAGATGTAATTATAAAGCAAATGATAAACGACAAGCACGGCTGTTAACCATCAAGATAAAATACAGATAAAAAATGTACGGTATCGAGATAGGTGAGAGTCATCGTCTTAAATTTCTGTTACTCAATTCGATGAAATTCCGAACACGTCTGATTTCGGCAAATATCGAAATCCCTCGTGCACGCAGACACATAAACTATCCAGCAAGGTCAAGAGAAAAATTTGCGACAAAGTTATTTCACTGCTTAAAACAATCGTAACGTCATTGGACTTTTTCCTCGACGTCTTTCGAAGCTGCATTCTTGCCATGGAAATTCATGGCATTTCGTAAGTAAGCAAACACGTTCTGATACGTCAGATAATACGCTGTCGGCTTCGAAGCGTAGCCCCCCCACTGAAACATGCGGCCGTTTACGATCGATGCACGGAATACCTGCGGTCGAACGGAATCGCGCGCGATGTGTTCGCGAATAAATAACGCAAATTAACGGGCAGCGTCTGGGTGAGCGCGAATACTTTCGCGCGTGATTAAACGCTCGCGGCATTATCGGAGTAACGACGCGTTACTCCGCTTTCGCAAATACACTCCCGCGTTGTGCTGGAACACCTCATAAAACACCGAATTTCGAACGTTTATATCTCGACGAGATGATCGATATTGAAGTGACACAGAGTATATTTCCGACTTTCGACGAGATAGCGAGATGGGTATGCGCAGAAAGAGTTAAAGACGCTTTTATATAATGCTACGTTTACATAATATGTAAAATGAAATTGTTGCGTGCAAGAAAAGCGGAGTCTTTAATGAACAAATCTTTTGCCTCGCGGGGGACAAAATATTCTATCCGTGCGCGTGTACGTAACACATTAACATCAGGAAACAAAACAGTAATGAGCAATTTTGCATAAAAAGATGCATACTATATATCGGGAGAAGAATAAGTGCAGCGCGCGTGTCTGGCTAAGATTTTGACCTGATTCGCAATCTGTCGGCGATGACTTATAACAAGCACGTCAAGACAAATGTAATAATACAGACACGAAATAGCCTCATTATGCGGTACGACAAATCGGTATACGAATCGCATTATATGCGGTACGAAATATCTTAGAATTGACGGAAAATCAACTTCTAGCGTTATCCTCCGTGAAATCCAGTCAATTTCTGTTGGCGGAAGTGTCATTGAAAACAAACAGCTGTTCGTGAAGCCTCGGAAAACGTAGGTAAATAATAGAACGTTATATATTTTCAAATTTGAAGCGACTCTCGTTAGAATCTAATTTTAATTCCAGGCTCGGTTATTAAGATATCGAATGTTGCAACATAAACGAATGTAGATTGCTCTCAATATTGTTAAGAACCGAAGCCAAATTACGTGAAGATGTAACTCTTTCAATTCGTAGCGCATTTCGTGTTTCTCGGTTAATTAATTACAACGCTGAATAATCGCTGATAAATAAATAGTTTACGACAGTCTGCGTGCTAAAGGGTCCAGTCGATCGCGGAGTGTTCCGAGAGAGTCAGTTGAAGATGTATATCTAAACTTCTAAACCAATCGCGGAGAGCGAAAACGCATCTTCTCGCTAGCTGCGTGCTCGTATTGTGAAAATTATTGCGCCGCAGACGCAGCCGAGTAAATAAACTATGCTGCAGCGTGTGCATGAGCAACGAGCAGGGAAAAGAGGAGGGCACACGGGCAGACAGATAAAAAGATACCATTGGTACAGACGGTAACTTGATATACCCGGCGAAACGAATCGCTCGGACCTGTCTGCTGCGGGAAGAGACTCGTCGCTGTTTCCGCCGGCCAGAAACTTTTCGCCACAACGCAACGCTTTGATTCACGAATGTGTTGAAAGAGCAATCCTTATTCTCTTCTCTTCGCCTACATATTTCCATAATCGTTGTTTCTCTAAAAACTGCGTCGGGAAAGCAAACGCTTGCGCAAGTCTCATAAGCACGCAGGATGACAATCGGAAGTTGCTGAAATTAAATAACTGTTATTTTGTAACGAGTGGGCAGAATGAAACGAATGAAATGAATGTACCGTGGAAAGAATTCGTTTTTGACACACGACGCAAGAAAAATGTACGTATATGAATTTTTAAAAGTAAATCTTGTAAAAAAGGACGAATTAATCCACCTGATTGCACGGCTGATGTATGTTTTCAAGATAATCTCATCTGAACTCCTGGGCTGGGGTAATCTCTAGGTGCTTTTGAACAGCTATTATATGCACTTTCTGACGTTAATAACTGTAACCGCGCCTTCAAAGAATTCCAGGTAAATTCCTCTCGTGGAAACGGCCGTCCAGACTGACAATGCGATCTTCTGGATATACTATGTCACTTGTGAGTCACATAAAGCCGAATTATCAGTTTTTTTTTTATCTTTTCATGTTCACAAAATGTATATTCTTCTTGCGCATAACATACGCTGTGTGTGTGCGGAAAAATGATGGATTTCTACGGAATGATGTTCAATTCATTTCATCTACAAAATAACAGCTATTCAATTTTAATAATTTTCCGATTTACACTGTTCAGCAAAAAAAGCATAAGAACGAGAATAATAATTTCCCATAATTTTTGAACGCTGATCCCAATGTCAAAGTTGACAAATTCAACTTAAATTGTATGAAGAACACTTTTTAATTTTAACATCCGCAAGACTACGTTAACGTTAACCATTAATATCTTTTTAATCATAATCAACACAATAAATTCTTTTTAAGGACTAAAGATCCTAACAACATACTTAATTCTGATTGCAATAAAACTTCTCTAACACGTCACACATAGTTATAATATGCCAAAATACATTAATCCTTTTTTTTTGTAACTTTGCAAATTTATCAAATTTGTGACATGACAGAGCAATTTGGTAAACGGGATCGTATTCAACGTCCAAAAAACTACAGGGAGAACGATTCTCATTCTTGTGCTCGAAAAAAGTGATTTTTTTATTGAACAGTGTCACCATTCAACAGGTACAGTTTTGCTCTGTAATTTTTAACTTTCACATCACAGAATTTAATAACGTCCCACTGAAAGAAAGCAGCGCATGTTTTAATGCCGAGAAAAGTCAGGATGGTATACACGTGTGTAAAAATTAGTTACAGCTTAGAGATAGTTTGAGAGAGAGAGAGAGGAACAGAAATACCTGAGAATTATTTCTTTTCGACTGACACAGACCAACGGTCAATTTATCGCTCGGTGAAGGTCCTCATGTCGCGTCTCAAGGCTCCGCAGAGTGAAACTCGTCGAGGAAAGTATCGAGAGAGAACAGGAAAAGTCTCGTCAATATGAAAATCGAAAATGAATTTTCCTTGCGAGCAACGCATGCATTTCGGACGGGCGCACGTGGCTTCCCGCGCCTTCCGGTAGGATTGCAGGAGCAACGCGCTTTTCCCAAGGAGACACACGAAAGTCCTACAAAGTGATTCGTTCCAAGCCCCTCTTCTCTCTCTCTCTTTCTCGGACGAGCGAGTCGAATCATTTTGATCAGATTGGCCTGGCAACATCGCCCCCGACGCTCGTTTCTGCGCCCATTCGCGGCGTGTTTCGCGCCGGGTGTGGGCGAGAACCGTCTCGCCGGGTACGAGTGTCCGTCTTTCTCTCTCGCTCACCTTTCGAAAAGCGAAGAGGTCCTTCTGCAGCTTCTGCCGCTCGGCCGTGGGCTGCTGGCCCTTCCCCCTGATGAACTTGAGCATCTCGACTCGCCGTTAGCCCAGCTCAGCGCGTTGTATGTTCTTCGCTCTTTCGCTCCCTCTTCGTCGCTCTCTCTCGCTCGCTCGCGCTTTTTCTCTCTCTTTCCCGCGAACACCACGCGAGGGTTAATCGCTGGTCGCACGTCACACGCAGGTACGGACTACGGACACGCACGTTTTAACCGGCGGCCGCGCGTAATTAACGCATTCTTGAATGAACGTCGCGCTGGATCACGTCCGCGCGCGGTCACGACGCCGCGTTATTTACCGCCCGTTCCACGTTCCACGGCTACGTTCACGGTGGACGCGCGCGCCCGCGCACGTCACTGTCCCTTGTCTCCTTCGGTATTATCCACCCGCGTCCGGCCGTTTCCCACCCCGCCGCCGTCGCCGATCGTCGCGCCCGTCGCTCTCTCTCTCTCACTCACTCGCGCTTCGCGCTCCTTCCTTCTCCCGCGCGCGCGCTTGCGACACACACTCGACACAACCCAACACAACCCAGGCGGGTCTCGTCCTCGTCGCGCTCGAGGGGATCGCGCGATGTGTCAGCCGACAGCCGACTCGCGTGTCTATCACCGCTCGCGGAATACGCGCGCTGGCTGTACCCTCCCACGGGGGATCACACGTCACACGGTCCGGATACTACGGGGCGACGCCCGGGATTCACGCGCGGCGCCGGCCGAGAACGTGCGGTGTGCGGTACGCGCGACGGAACGCCAGGCCAGAACACCATCGAAAACGAAAACGCTAACGGCAGGCAACGCAGGCGCGCGCGCGCTCGATCACTCTACCACACGTCCCTCTCTCTCGCACCGTCGGCGTCGACTCTCCCACCTCCCACCGCCGCGCGCTGCCACAAGTTTCGCTCGGAAGCCCTCGGCCGTCCTCGGCCGCGCTCGGCGCCCCGCCGGCGGACGCACCCGAACGAACAATGACCTCGATCGGCTCTCGAATTCTCGATTCGCGCGGCGCGCCGACCAGCGCCGACGGACCGGCGGCCATTGCCAACAATGCCAACGATACCAACCGAGGGAATCGTCGAGACCGCTCGTTCCGACCTTTTCTCGTCGTCGCTTCAACTTAGCGCCTCGCTGCGAGCACGTTTTACGTTTTTCTGCGATGTCCTCGACGATATTGATCTCACGGGAAAGCGTGACGGTGAATCGTCACTCCGGTAGGTGCAGGTCGCTCTTTTCATTTTCATTTTTTGCGCTACTGCGCGTTGCGAACGCGTAGGTACATTTCGATAAATCGCGTTATTTTTGGGACTGGACGATCGATGCGTCTGTCCGTACGTCGAATGGTCGCGCGTAGATTCTTGTACGAATAATTATTATACGTGTAATATTATTGTATTACGCATTCAAACATCAACGACTTCGTCGGTACCTATATACTCTTTCCCGCCATGATTCCATTTTGTTTTTCTTTTTATGACTGACGAGAGTGACGAGGCAGCGTCATACTCGAGATAATTTTTGCCGCGATTATATAAAATATGTCGAAGTCTCAGAATTATAACGTCGATCCGATGCTCCAGATTTTAAATAGGCGAGAATACATGCCGAACAAATACTACGTTTACGCGAGCGTTATTTCTATGATAATTCACTCGTTTACGCGGAGTAAATTATCGTAAGGGATATTTTGTAGTAACTTCCACGCGAAGGAATTATCGTAAGTTACTACAGATGTAACGCTCGCGTAAACGTAGTAAAAGTCATCAGTCGGTTGTCACAACGTTCTAATAATGGACGTGTGCGTGTGCGCGTGTCGATGTAGAGACGCACGTGAAACGCATGCTCGTAGAACATTATTCCGAGCATGTAACAGGACGTCACGCGTTCGACTCTCGGCGATTTCCTGCGCTCTAGACGTTTACGGCGCCGAAATCGTTCCCCGATCATCACCGTCGTGTGACACGATCTTCCTACATTCGAACAAAACGCGCCCTGAGAGGAGCAAATTCTTGAGAAGAGTTGCGGGGAGATTCGTGGCGACACGAGAAGATGAAACGCGTCAAATGTATCAAACAAAAATATGTACTTTTATCAGACTACTTTTATGTACAGGACACGTAATTTCAGATCTGTTAAATTTATACAAATATATAGAATTTGCCTTATCTATAACATACAATATTACATGACTGCGTCTATATAATAAATTAATAATTACGTATAATACAAAATTATACAAATATACTACGTTTTTCGTAAAAAAAAAAACGTCTAGCAAGACGTCACGACGTAAAGATTCAAAAAAGGCCGTGTGCTTAATGTAAAGAATCCTTTCTAAATATCACGATATCCGGAATTTCTTGTTTTTCGGTTAGATATGTAAATACTTCATAAACAGCATTATGCACTTTTTCCCTCGGTACTGTTCGTAGTTATATATCTTGGGGATTGACGCATGGATGAAGCACAGTTTTCCTACGCGTTCATTATTTCTTCGGAATGTACTGTATGACATCTCTTAATTTCATTGGAATATTAGACGGTCGACAAATGTAAGTAAGAAGCGACGAATATCCTGAGGATCTTGTTGATGTTCTCTGTAGTCTTCAAGTCGATGTTGTGTCGATTGTCGCCAGACTTGTGCCAAAAGGGCGGAAACGGGGTCGGTATTATATGCAAAATAGGCACGTCTGGAAAGTATAGAAAATGCAGTTTTACTGTAGGAACGTGTGCGAAACGATATTCGTGCTTCGCGAAATAATTCGGGAAACACTTACCTTTCCTTAGAAAAGGGATATGATCGTCTTCGATATGCGCCTCGAACGAGTACGGTTGAAAGTACTTCTGTTCCGGTTTGCCGTACGAATACGATTCAAATTTTCTCATTTGAGCTAATTTCTTTTCGATACTGACCAGCAAGGAGTACCACTTCTCGGTGTTTCTGAAGTAATTGTAAAAAGTCGGGTCAGGCGCGCCTATCAAGTCGAGGAGGACCAATATGTCCTGTAGAAAAATTCACGCAATATTAAATAATTACTATACAATAATATTATGTAAATTGGAAATATTTATATGATACGTCAATACTTCTAATGATATATCTATATTGATAACGTAAATATGTATTGATACGTACTATTTTATCTAATTCAGAGAAATCGATTCCTTCTCCGTAAGAGGTCCTTCTATTGTGCCATTGTTTAGCCAAGTGTTTAGCACCGTAAATCGAATCGTTCGGACCCCATTCCTTGAACGCTTCTTCCCCATCGAAGAAGATAAACATCAGGCTGACATCCTGCTGTTAGATATAACATGTAACACAGATATAAGTATAGATTTTTCCAAGTTTCGTACATATATGAGCCGTTGAGTCTCGTAATATTCTGCATAACTTACTTCTTGTTTAGTCAAATATTCACTCATGACAGTTGCCAAATTAATTAGTTGAGCGCATGGCACAGCACTGTCCGTGGCTCCAATAAAGTCCCTCTCTCTTGTATATTTCGAATCGTGATGGCAAGCCAGCGCCAGATATCTTTTTGCATTAGGATTTAATTTTGCTATTATGTTTTCGAACTCCAGCTCGCCAAATACAGGCGTGTTAGCTTTGAATAAATCCGATTCCACTGTCCAACCCAGATTTCCCATTGACCTCTTGATATACTGAAAAAGAAGCATACATTTTTCCTGTTATTCGTAGATTAGATGCAATGACACTATGACATTAGATGATTAAAACGTATTTACATAGACATTTATCATTATGTAAAAATTAGTTTTTTTTTTAAATTATGTTATTCAATTTTATCTAACTTTAATGTTATCGAACGTGTCAGCTAAACGTTATAATACCGTTATCTTTGTGTTTCATTGTGAACGCGGAAAATCCAAAGGAATTAACATCATTTTGAAACTCAGTTTTGTGTGGAAATGAGAAATTCCCGCGCGGTGCTTTTTCCCGTTTGCCTCCTTACCTCCTTTACCGTCGCGTGCTCGGCGGTCCCCACGATCCTCACCACGCATATGTTATCCAAGACCTCATTCATGTGGGTGACGTTCGTGAGACCAGACAACGTGGCGACCTGTTCGTTCGTCAGCGAGCCGGGCACGTGATAGTACTGAAAATCACGTAATAATAATGACACACTCGTCAGCCGGTGACAGAACGTAACAATGAACTAAAGAGAGACAGAAAGAGGGAGAGAAAGAGCGGCGATGCGAGCGATGAAAGTAATCGCGGAGGAGGTCTCCTTCCTCCGCGAAGATGGGCGTGCAACGAGGGAAGACGCGGCGTTCGTTTATATACGTTTACATACTTTCTCCCTTGCGAGGGATACCTCCCTCGGGCGATCTCGCTCGGCCGCGTGCGGTGACACGACGACGGCCAGGAAAAAAATACATAGCGCTATCATATCCGTGCTCCGTGGCAGTCGCGCGTCAACTGTGAACGCATCGCGATGTAAAAAGGACGAGAGCTCCGTTCCACTCCGTTCCTTTCGGCTGAGTTCTCCATCTTTCCTTCCTCTCTCTCCGACGGCTTCGCCGTCTTCGCCTTACGCCTGTCTCACTTCGAGAAGGGATAATATGCTGCGTAAAGGTGGAAGCACATAAAATTGCAGGAGCCATGAGCAGAATGCAGAAGCAGATCTCTGGCAGAAGCCATATGCGCATGCGCTATGGTATCTGTAGAGCTCTACAAATACCATAGCGCATGCGCATATGGCTTCTGCATTCTGCTCAAGGCTCCTGCAATTTTATGTGCTTCCACCTTAACTCTCTCTCTCATAGGCGACGAAACGAACTTGATCCGTTCACTCGTTATCGAGATCTCAACATCTCGGGTACTCGCAACCCGTCGCGTCGCGTAAAAGAGTCATCATCCGCGTGTACTTGGCGCGAGACACTACCGTGTCTCTTGATGTCTATTTTTTAAATGTCTTATTGCGACCACCCTCTATCGTTAATTTTTTTTAAATTAATAATAGATATACTATTAACATAACATGATGACATGGTAATAATAGGATAACATAAAAAGTCACGAGCTTAAAAAAAAAAAATCTTTTCTTAATAAAATATATGAGTTTTAAATAACTATAATCAATCTATCCTACATTTCAATACTTCCTAATTACAATTTTTTATTTAAAAAAAAAAAAAAAAAAATTTTTATTTAAAAAAACAATTTTTTATAGACATACACTTAAATATATGACGCGAATGAAATTAAAAAACCACATTGAATACTATGTATTTGCTGAGAAAGAAATTTCCGAAAATAGGCCATTTTTTGCGCACGACAAAGGTGCCTCCTTAATAAAATGTTTATTATAAATCTTTGTATACATGTTTTTAAATATTAAAATATGATCCTTAGCATAAGTATATCCATGCTAATTATATTAATAATAAATGTGCTTCTTATATGTTAATAATATCTGTCTGTCTGTCTGACTGCGAACTATTCATTCATTAATAGACCGATTTTCTGGAAATCGGTGCCAAAATTTGTCTAATTTTTCGGGGATGATGTCGCAGTAATATATAAAATTCTTACGGGTGGTGTATGTTTGTACGTTATTAACTTTGTAACTTTGGAAACAATAGACAAGAACTCTGTATTGCGTGTAATTTTGTGTCAGTAGAAGCGTAGAGATTGTGAGTGACCGAAGAAAGAGTGATGGCAAAAAGACCTGTTTTTTCGCCTATTTTTTCGAACTTCACAAACGATTCGGAAACAGCACCCGCTTACGGATTTAAAATATCTCTAAAAATGACAAAGTTACCCTTACGAATTTTTGATATCCTGTTTTTTAACGCTTTTGTATCTTCGGAACCGTGCCCATACTCATGTTGAAATTTTACTGGGATTAATGTTTCATCTAATAGCACTATTTGCCATAAAAAAAGTTTGAAATTCGAGGTCCCAAAAATGGGCGAAATTTGCCATCACTCTTTTTGCGCTAATGTAAAATCACGATCCCAATTTTGTGACTTTGTAACGAAAAGGTATATTGAAACTTATGCAAATTATAATAATTTTTACAGTGTATGTTTGCTAAATTATTCTAGTAAGTAGTTTAAATAATATTATTAAGATAGTTTGGAGAAAACGAATGCACTTTATGAAGTCGACATACGGGGTTAATCGGATTATTTTTTTCGGGGTGATTTAGATCATAAAATTTTTCGACATTTTATAGCTATTACAACAAAAGTGTATTTTTTTCAATTCCTATAGATATAGTTTGCACGTACAATCGTAAATCACCTATACATTAACTTTTTTTTCAACCTAGCTTACCAGATAATTTTTACAAAGTAAACTTTGTAAGTATAAAAATTTTAAAAGTAAACGTAACTAAAAACTATATTGATATGTCCTAAACTAGTGAACAAAAATTATTCAAATTATCAGTATTTGTTGTATGTATAGACGGACACATGCGGATATCTCTTTTTCCATTCATTAACCAATTGATCGCTTATGTCACAGTTTATGAAACAAAACTCTTGCAGGTTAGGACATTGTTCAAAAATAACTGAATATATATCAGGTGTATGATCAGGTCGTCTCATCACTTGACAAAAAAATAACTTTTTTAAATTTTTGCACTGTGCTAGTAATTCCAACTGGTATTCAGTAAGGAAAGCAAATTCAATATAAACTTCTTGCAAGTTTTGATAAGAGGAAAGTAATTTAAATAAGCTATCAATAACTAAATATTGATCTGGATAACTTAATAAGAATCTGAAACAAAAATCATATAATATTATTACACAGTAACTAATTGCAAAGAGGAAATTAATGTAACTTTTTCAAGATCTATGCAAGAGAAGCAAACAATTTTCAATAAAGAATACAATAACATGTATTTTAAAAGAAATTGTAACATATACTTACCCTATAAAAGTAAGCTCCACTTTTAGTAAATTTTTACAGTTAGCCAGGGCACTAATACTATGAGGTGTAAGACAAGGTGCATGCAAATATATTACTTCCAAGTCACGACACGAATTTTCCAACTCTAATAGAACTGCTTCTTTGCTTATAACTATACCGGAATATAACTCACGCATCCGTTGATTTTTTTGCAATATTTTGCACAGTTGTTGAGCGTTTATACCTGTATTACAAAGGTTTAAATGTTCCAAATTTTTCAGCTTCTCGAGATACGAAAATCCTTTGTTGTCTATGAATCGACAATTACTTAGATTCAATTCTAAGAAAAATTTGTATTAGTTATATGCAATTTATCCATAATCTTGATAATTATATACTATATGCATATATATCTACATACCTTTCAAATTTTTGCATATTTCTGAAATTTTAAGTAGGGCAGGATTTAAATCGACCCTGCAGCAACTTAATTTTAAGTGCGTTAAATTTCTGCCGCAATTATCAAGAAAGTTCACGAAATCATTAACATCAAAGTTGCTTCCTGTAAGATCCAATTGTCGCAAAAATTCACATCTAATAGCTGTAAAGTAACAAAATACTTTGCGCATAATACATTTGTCAGTCACACGTCGCATGTTCAAACGTGTATAGAGTAGAGGGTCCCGTGTTAACTTATTGAAGCGATTATTTACTTTATTCATGCGGCATAACGTCGTCAGATCTAAATAGTTTAATATTTTTAGTAGCATTTCATTCTGTAAAGATAAAATATATAATTTTAATACTCGAGATGACATTACAATAATATGATGAGAAATAGACAACTTAAATACTTTACCGGAAGCGCAGATAAACTGCAACGTGATAAGTCCTTGGATTCATCCGAAGAGAGTTTTATACGCTTTGCATAATTTGAATGACTAGATTGCTCATAACAAGGGATTATCTCCTGAGATATTTTTTGCTTTAAATTACTCTTAGAAGAAACCCTTCTTATATCGCTGCAATTATTATCGGAACAAACTTATTTTCATTATTAACAGAAAAAAATTTAAATATTACTTAACGTCGACGATAATAATACCTTTCACAAATACAATATTCGGAAAAATTCTGTTGCAGATGAACTATATCCAAGTGTGCACTTTTTAAATCTGCTGTTAAATTATGAACATCGTCATGGTATGAAGAGTACATGCTGTTAATTCTTTTTAACAGATTAGTTAAACTCTCGTTAGGCTTTCTAGAAAGGATCAATTCTGATGTACCGATGAGCATCACAGCATCTAGCTTTGTGTAAGAGAGAGGTGAACTGTTTTCAAATGTTAGTCTGAGCATTTTGGTTGTAAAGTTACGCCGATGCGATAACGGTGGAGAAAATAATCTTGATGTCGGCGGTACAAAATGAGGCGATTTACACCACAACTTAGACCACTCATTATTAGAATCTTGAGCCGAAATTTGAATTACGCTTCCAGGATTATGTATTTCGTAAATGCAGACTCTGATTGGATATACAGGTTCATGAAACTCGATACCTTCAAAATAGAAAATATATAATTATACTCTTTTCTCAACAAAAACATATCTTCTTTAACAATATTATCTTCTTAACAATATCTCATAATTTAAATATTACATACAAATATAACTATTTTTCTTCGTCTGGGCAGTATACTGTCCATTCTGACAAATATCATCAGCAGCTCTATCATGAATAAGTTCTTCGTTTTGCCATGGAGATATTGACATATCGACATCTTTATTGACTGAATTCTGTATTGAAAAGTCAAAAAGTGTAAAATACTACAAACTCTTGTAAGTTTGAATTGCAATTACTTTTTACTGGACAATAATGTATAATACCAGAAAATATACATACCCACTTGTTTTCAAAAAAAGAAGGTAAATGAAATAGTTCTCCATAGTTTTGAAATTTGGGTGGTCCAATTATGTCAGGGGCAGTGTGATATATGCTAATATTCTGATGGTTCTTGGGAGCATATCTCTTCTTCGTAAATTGATAGATGAAGTCAACATTACCCTCCTCTCCTACGGATACTCTGTCGACATAGGGATATCGACTACAACTCTCGTTATACAAACGTTGATAATGGGATGTCATATTTTCTCTCTGAAAAAAAGACAAAAAAATGGAAACTAATAATTCTTGCTTTTGTAGTATATGCTAAAATGCATTGTATATCATGTATTTATAATTATAGCGGTAAGATTATATAATTAGATTAGATTATATAATCTAAATTTATCCTGTTTCCATTATATATATATATATATATATATATATATATATATATATATCTCTGGAGTAATTTTGAAAAAATGTAAGAAAAATTTTAGGTTTCAGAACATCAGATATCTTAGGAAGCTATTAAAAAAGTACTGGCAGTGAATATCGGAATGCATAGTGTTTACTTGGTGTTTACAGTGTATGTTGGATTTTGATAATTCTTCTCTACAAGCGCGTGGATTATGATCGTTTTTCCCTAGCACATCTTTCGGCCTTATTTTCAATAAATTGTAACTGTTCTTGATCAAAACGGATAAGAATTACAAAAGTTTATTGAAAATGCCACAAGAGCATGAGGAGATCAATTTCGACAAAAAGTGGACTTTGATCTATACATATATACACATACACACGCACACATGATTACTATATAAATTCTATGGTTATTACACAAATTAATATAAAGTGTGTACATGTATAGTATATAAAAAGTAAAAAACTTTCCATCAATTATTACCATAACGTTCCCTGCTTGTGAAACTGTTGACGTAGGACTGCCGAAAGATTGTACCGGGCGGGTTGTAGTAGCTGCAGTAGTTGCAGTTTGTGACGTTGTACCAGCAATTTGCATGAGA